ATCAAATTACTTGTTTTCTCCTGTCAGTAGCATTGACATTGTAGGTAAGTATTGTTATCGGCTTGGCAACTGTGTACAGAGTACAATTAGAGTCACAGAATTAACTCCCTTTTGTATATGTTTAATGTTATGCAACATCATTAGTAAACAAGTGTTTAGAACACTTAAGGCACATTTGCTATTACATTTATATTTATATTAAAACAAAAAGTATATTCTCATCTATGGAGACCTGTACTTACGTAATAGCTAAACCATACGAAATTCTATAGTGTTACGCTCTCGTGTTACAGCTTGTCAAAACAAGGTTGAAAAGCCATTGTTCTGAAGGTAAATGCGAAAGAGGGTCAATGAATATTAAGAAAAAATTATATTTGAATGTAAACAATCTATATTATGTAACCAAGTGTATATATACCAAAAATTCCCCAAGGTCTTTTCACTTTAATTCATTTTGGTCATTATTTTAATGAAAAATAATTCAAAGTCCCACTCTAGAGCTTACTATTATCCAACTCAAATCATACAATAATTTCATTGATGTATAGATTTGGGAATGCATAAGCAGAGGACAATCAGCTAGTCATATTGTTGTGATAAAATTAGGAACGTGTTGGGGAGATTAGGAAAATGCGGTTAAATTCACTTTTCATCGTACCAAATTATCAGGCCAGATTAGGCGAAATAGCCACTAGAAGAAGTCAGAAAAATGCTGAAGAGACTTCTTTTGATAAAAAATTCCATAAATCCATTTACAGTCAAAGAACTTGATTTACTTGATGTATCGCGCCGAATGTCTTCCTTGAGACTGAGAAAATCGCCGTTACTCTGTTATTATATATATCAATTTATTTGATCTTTTTCAGGAAATATAGTCATCTTAGTTGATTTTCCTACAATAACATGTTTATTAGGCCTCACGATACCATTAAGTTTTACCTAGCCATGCTTGCAAACCGGTCATCTCCTCAAACGTAAATTGAAGTTCCGACCTCTCCTGGTTTACATCCGCACTCACAACGGGACTCGAAGCTGGCTAGTGTTCACGATATGAAAACGTGACCATGCGAACTTTAAAAAATATATTTTCTTACTTATTGACCTTTCAGAATAGCAGAAAATCTCGAATGAGAAATGTTTTCTTCCCAGTGAGAGTTTAATTTTCTCACGATGCTATAAGAATATTAAGTAAACTCCAATGGATTCGTGAATCCAAGCCATATCCTTGCGGGATATCATAAACTATGCCCTACTCCCTTTATTGTTTCTGTTAATGACAGGATCTTAGCATTCTGATCGTTTGGCGAGGAAATGTATTGCCTTAAGATCTCTAGAATCCTCCATGTGAAAAGCGACAATATACGGAGTCCTAGGGTTGTATTCAAGTGTTATTTCTGTACCACAGTCACATATCAGTGCAGTCTAAGCGTTGGGCCTTTCTGTTTAGAAATTTGAGACTCTCGGCAAGGTTACACTTAATCTCGTACAATAAACCCAGCTAAAATCGACCAGTGTTCACTTTAGAAGAGGGTTTGCACATGCTTCCTCGTAGGCATTGTGAAAGAGCAAATGAAAATGAAAAATTGTGAAGCACAAGGCATATGAGGCAATATTGGGTTAAAAGGGCACATTAACGGTAGGGGATAAGAACGAAAATTAATTTATGCTGGTGAGCAGCCATTCTCCTTGTCTGTCGATCCGCCGGCATTCATACTTGTCTGTGTGTATGTATGTATGTCTGTTCACATGTCTGTCTATACTCAGAATTCTTTGTCAGCCCATGCAGCCACATTTCATACAAACTTATTATCTCTCTAGCCACCCTCGGACCTAAACGGCATTGCTTAACCCTCATTACTTCTCTATGAGCCTTAGAAGTATTCATATAACTTGCACTTTGTATAAGTAATCACTGTTAATTCTTACATAGTGAAATAGTTGATACATGGTAGGCACAGACACGTGTCGTTTTATCATCTCATTTAATGGCTGACTCATCCACTTAAGTCCAAACATCTTGCCACCGTTACTACTACGGCCGAAGTCCCTGCAACGATTACTCAAGCTTGTGCCTCGTTCCCTCTCTCCTTGCCAGCCAAGCCTGCGTCATACAGTGAAGTGGGCCGTTGCTCGTTGCGCTGGTAACAATGCCCAAGCGAAAGGGAAATAACGACAGGCATTTTCTCGAGTGGGCGGCTCGTGTGTGACCAAAAAATGTAAAAACCCCTATTATCATTGCTGTCGACTCTCGAGTGCAAGAGGAAATGTCTTCCTTTAGACCGTGTCGTGGGAATTGGGCAAAAGGGTGTAGCTGAAACTCTATCAGCCACGACTCGAAGGTTGCAAGGCAGGGACCAAGATTAGTCAGTGCTTCATAAGGGGGTGTGTGAAAACGGGCTAGCGGCTGCGACAGAGCCTCGTTT